GGGCCCCCCGGGCCCAACCGGCTGGGCCCAGCCCGGCAGGGCAGGCCCGGCCGGGCGGTGTCCTCACTCAGAAACAAATCTGAAAAAAAAAGTATGTTATGCATACTAACAATGCAAACCACTTTTGCCTGAGAGTCATGTCAGAATTCCTAACCAAACTTGAGTTAAAAGTCAAAAACTATGAAAAAGACTTTAAATACTAATAAAAGGTAATGAATTATTAATAATTAAAAAATTGGGGTTGTGTAATAAGTTACTATAGAGAGAGAGCATGTCCGGACCCCCAAAAAAAGCACAAACGGGCCTGAAAAACCCCCAAAACAATTTTGGGGGCTTGGCTCCTCAATGGGGAAGGGTCCTAGACCGTTTTTTTTTTTTTTTTTTTTCTCGAAATTTGCCAGATCCGGACCTTCCAGACCGGACGGCGGTCCGGACGTCCGGATCGTAGCCATTGTAATCATCAAGCAGAGTCAATGCAAATGAAGCAGGACTGACTGACTCGAGCAATGGCAAGGATAAGTGAGGGAAGAATGAGAACTCATAATAGTCTCAGAAAGTACACATGAAGGGAGCATGGCCAGCACTCGTCAAGAGTCCTCACTCATCCCGCTGGGTAGTACACTCAATCTCTCATTTTGCTGTGTGCTTCTTGTGCTTCGAGCCAAGTCTCCGTACTCCCCGAGGCTGTGGCCTTTGGATGTAGAGCCACCTGAAGCCTGCTAGCTCCGAACACCTCCATCCAAGTCCCATGATACGGAAGTCCGCTATAACACAGAATTCCTCCCATAGAGTAGGCAGGTATGGTTGAGAGAAAATCCCTGGTCTGAGATGTCGGAACTCTGAAGGCTCTGTCACTGTGTCACTGCCTCATAGTCAATCCATGTTGGTGAGATGTATCTCTTTGCCAAACCAACCGAGTGACACCAGCAAGATCCGTCTGTGAGACTGAAAGGTACTGGAGGCCTGGGATAATCAGTATAGAGCTTGGGTCCAAAGCTACGGATCAGCTTGGTACCACTCTCGTCGAGCTCTCTCTCTCTCTCTCTCTCTCTCTTCAAGGTGCCTGGCAGCAGCAACCCAGACTGAATCGAAGTACTCGTTAGTCTCCTTGCCCTTTCTCACATAGAGTCTTAGGTCGTGGATGGTACCTTCTGCAAAATTGGTAAGGACTGCAAAGATTGACAGACCCCATTGACTGAGACCATGGCGCTGACGTACTGATACCGGATAGCATCCTTGGTGGCTATCCTGTTGAGACTGGCCAAGACAGTTTCATTGGAAGGAGATGACTGAAGCGCACTCATGTGCAAAGTAGGGGACTGAAGCAGGTTTCTGAATCTTTCAGCAAAGACTGACTGCTGGTTGAAACTGACTAGAAATCTCGAGTGGCCCTGACGGATGAATGCTGACTGAGTGCTGATTGAATGCTGGTTGAGAAGCTGGTTCAATGCTGGTTGATTAAAAAGGCTCCGAATTCTGTTTACTTGGGATCGAAATGCCAAGAGACTTGCAACTCATTGAGAGGCACATGCTAATAGGGATACTTGTATAACTGCTAATTGTTGAGCGACACTCGCTAGTTGGAATGCAGGTAAGAGCTTCGGAAGGGAGAGTCTGGGCACCATCTGTGGTCACCCAAGCCTCGCCCTGGCCTGTTCCGCCATTTCTAATGACGAGCAGGTGCTGTGCAGCTTGCCATTGCAATCATAGAAGTACACATACTCAATAAACTTCGTTTTCCCTGCCATTCTGACTGCAGTTTCCCTCTGAGTTTGCTTATGTGATTCCATGTCCTTGCATGCTTCGTACTCCCATTCCTCTCTCTTATTCCTGTTAGAACTGGATTTTAACACGAGGACCTTGTCCTCTCTCATGATTCCTTCAAACTCCCGGAGGTACTGACAGCAAGTGGAGTGAACTGCAGGTGAACCTAGTGAGCTTCACGTTCAGAACTAAAGACTGTTCCCAAACTCGGGTTCATTGGAGTTAGTCTAGATGTCCAGCGACTGCCGAGTGATCCCAATACCGGTTATTTGTCACAGTTACCTAGTCAAACACTGGCTCTGATTCGCTGGTTAGCAATTGACAAGGAGGAGGGGAGCGTTGAGTTCACGTGAGAGTTTTCCCCGCGGTGTCACACAATGAGCACTTGAGTACGAAGGTCTGTTTAAGCAGAGGGGTGTGCCCTTTTCCTGATCCAGAAGAATCGCTCCTAGACCACGTAAAGACGACAGCTGAACAGTGCAGGAGATTAGGTGTTGCATACCGTATAAGTGCAGACCAGAACAAGAACCGACCTTTCAATACAAAGTATAGGATAGCACAGCGGAAGACTTAGATACTAGTGATCCGAACAATCAATGTTGTAATGCAGCCCTGAACATACATCATCATCATCGTTTCATAGTGTGAATGGGTCTGGTGCTTCACACAGGAAGACAGCGCCAGCCCAGAACATGCACAGACGAGGAGGAAGGGGATAGACGAAGAGGAGGGAGAAGATGGGAATGTCGTCAACACCAGGTCTTCGGCACAAGCCCAAATAGTCCCTCGTCGAACTGTCTGAATCCCAAATGTCAAGTCTGGATCCAA